TCTACAGGTGACAAGCTATGCAGTGTAGAAGACTGCATTCCCGGCACAGGAGTGTATCTGCGGCATGGATACATTTACTCCTCACTAGCAGGATACGTGCTCAGGAAAAACGAGGGAGAGGAGGTGAGGGGTGTGGCTGGTGTGGGGAGGAGAGAGGTGGGGAAAGCTGCAGAAGCAATAAGGCGTGTCTGAGCAAAGGTATTATGCAACGCTGGCGAATGTGACTGAACAGAAATGTGTTTGTTCAGAGTGTGTGGTGAAATATGCACTATATTTAGTGTGACAGGGTTTTTCTTCAGGCTGTTTTGAACTTGAATCATGAGATTTTTGTCGTTTTTCTAGTTGCCAGTGATCTCTGTGGTGAGGGAAACAGAAACACAACTACTACCAGATGTAGGAGCAATAGTCACCTGTAAGGTATGCAGTGGAATCAGATATTATTTAACAACAATAAGATGATCTGATTGAGTGGTGCTGCACAGTTTAGATTTAGATCCATGGTTTGTTTTGAGCCTTACTGTTCTTTGCTTGGACAGGTGACCAGCATCAACCCCAGGTTCGCCAAGGTCCATATACTATATGTAGGCTCCACACCGCTGAAGGACCGCTTCAGAGGAACAATCAGGTAACCATGACAACTGACTCAGTTGTGAAACAATGTTTAACGTCATATCTCTCTGTGTCATTCTCAAAACTGAGCCCACTCTCTCTGATTCTACAGGAAAGAAGATGTGCGCGCAACAGAGAAAGACAAGGTGTGTTTGAATCCTTGTATTCAACCTGATCGTCACATGTGTACTTATTAAAGCTAGAGTTTTTATGAATGTAACTTTTTGTCTTACTTGCTGCAGCTGTCACTTAATTCTGAACAAAGCACACGAGACAGATAATACATCAAAAAAAATCTTTTGCTACTAATGGCGTTTGCTAGAATCCACTGTGGCGCACCATACAACCAGTCAGAGACGTAGCAGTCTCAGACGTAGCTGTCAATCATGTCACTCACTTCTCGTGAGCTGCGGTCAAACCAGGCACAGCAGATCAAATATGAATCAGGATTCTGTTACTGCAGTGCCTATTTCTCATCTCAAATGTTTTCAGAAACATATTTAAGTGTACTGTTTAGCTGTGAAATGAGAACGTTTGTGACCCATCAGCCATGTTGGAAACAGCCGACCAATAAGTACAAAGCACCGCCCACCAGGTGGATCAAGTTTCTCATTTTACAGCTAAACTGTACACTAAAATATGTTTCTGAAATATGCCCGGAGAAATAGGCAATGCAGTAAGAGAATCTTTATTCATATTCGATAAGCGCTGTCTAGTCTGACACTTTGATCACTGATCACAGAGTGATTGACAGCCGTGTCAGAGACTCCTTGACTCTGACTGGTTGTTTTTGTTTACATGCGGTAATGCCATTTGAAATGCTACAAGGCAAGAGAGTAGGCAGAAGAGTGTGATTTTTTTTCTCCCACAGATTATCTGTCTCATTTAGTGCTGTGATAATGTAGTATATACATAGTATACAGACAGTTTCAACAAATGTGGAAAAAAAAATAAAAGTTTCAAACTACAGCTTGAATCTAAGATGACATGCTTAGTGTAATGCTTGTGTCTTTATTGTTACAGGTGGAGACATACAAAAGCTTCAGACCAGGTGACATCGTCTTGGCGAAAGTTGTATCCTTCCCCTGCCCTCAAGCCTGAGGAAAATAAATATCTTTCTCAAGAGTCAAAGTCGAAAACTATTCAGCTCATGAATCAGTTACTGTTTATTCTCCCCCTGAAATTCCTAATCTTGGAATAACTCAGGTATAGTAACCAAACCACCTCCAAAGATGTCTTGTTCTCTGTTACCATGATCTCTTGGACTGTGACAGATGCACATAGCTTGTTAGTTTTAAAATCAATGACAGCTGCCTGCAGATATTCACTATGAGTGAATTAAAAAAAGCCCCACTTAAATAGTGTTGATGTATGATGTTGCATTAACTGTGTTGTTTACCCTTAACCTGTGATGTCAGATATCGCTCGGTGACGTGCAGTCTAACTACCTGTTGACAACAGCAGAGAATGAGCTGGGCGTGGTGGTGGCACACAGTGAAGCAGGTAACTCTTAAAGCTCATTACACAATGTTTTTCTTTTTCTTCTACACTTCAAAACACAGGAGGTTCCAGCTCAGCACACACTGATAGTATCCTGTTTGAACACAAGGTGGTGCAAGAGTATCTGTCCACATAACTGGAGACAGTCACTGTCACTTTGACACCACACAGCCTTTTGCAGTGAGCCATATTTGTCAAGCATTTGCTGTAGCGTTATTACAGTTTGGCAGAATTTTACAATAGTGCCAATCTAGTCATCTCTGATCCAGTATCCAAGATTTTTTTGTGTAGCAGTGTGAGAGAGACGTGATTATGCTTTCAATCCAATTACTTTGCTACACCTAAGAGCAGTGGGAGTGACAACAATGAAACCTGATTATGGAAATTTATTGCTACAGAAATTCTGCAGGATGAGCACCAAATTAATCTCATCTCAATCTCGTACCTAAGGTCATGCTTCTAGACTGTAGACTGTATTTGCATTGCATTAAGATTTTTCAGGTGACAACACTCCAGAATGCAGAGTGTCTTATATTTTACATTTCCTCTTGTGAATCAGGTGCTCAGATGGTTCCCATCAGCTGGTGTGAAATGCAGTGCCCACGGACGCACAGCAAAGAGTTCCGTAAAGTGGCGCGAGTGCAGCCAGAGTATCTACAGGCATGAGACAACTTCTTTCTACCACAAGGAACACACAGCTTCCCCTCCCTCTTTCACTCAGTTGTCAAGTAGCCTCCCCACTCTGTTTCAGACATGTTCTGAGAGACTGAACGACGTGCATATTGTTGGCTACTTTCTAGTTTCGTGTCTTAAGTGTTTTTTTTTTTTAACCGAGTCATCATTTGATTGTGCCAGCTTGAAAACACTGAAGTAGCGTCAGACCAAACTGTCAGGATTTATTCTAAGCAAAGTAGCGACTGTTGTAAAGATATTTTTTTAACCAAAGTCAGTGCATGTCCCAGCAACGGGGGTTTTTAAAGTTGCGTTTCAGTTGCCTGATGGCAACCTGATTAGACTAACTCAGGATGTTACAGCTGCAGAACCTTCTAAGCTACCGCTATGATGAGAAGCTAAAAGCATAAGAAATTTGTGCCTGGTGAATAAAGGTCCTCTTCACTCAGTTTTAATAGTAAATATTATGGCGAAGTATTACGGCTGATCGTCAGGTCACTTGAAGGGTGAAGCAGCGGCGCATGTTGCTGGGTGCACAAAGGCCCAGGCTGCATTTTCTAACTAGAGGTGGTTGTATTTGGTCTGAAATAAAGATTCGGCCAAAAATGCTGCACTTTAAAACTTCTTTTGCGTGATGTCATGTAAACGACTCACATGGGATTTTTTTTTTGTCCATAAGTGACAAAGACATTTGTCTCCTCAGGCTCATTTTTCATCACTCCTTTCCTTTCGGTCTCAAGTAAACTGAAGGACACATGCGGTCCACACAGCAGTTTGAAAGGAGAGTAAATGTGATTAAGGGAGCCTAATGTTCAGAGTTACAACACAGCTACCAATGTGCGGAATATTGAAGTTCAACATGATAGTCAGATATTTCATTTTTGTTTTCCAGCTTATTGTCAGAACGTAATGATTGTGAGCCTACAACAAGCAAGCAGAAATGTTTCCATTGTATCTTTGAAGTAAAGTGAACTTTAACTTTCCTTATTCCTTCCTCACTTTACAGCAGATGTCATTCATGTGCAAGATTGAAATAAAATGACTATCAAAGCCTTTAGTTCAAGTTTCCTTTTTTACCCAGACTTACCCAGGGCCGCCCCTCCCTAAACACAGAACACGCGCTGTGCGTAGGGCCTCATCTTCCATGAGGGGCCACATTTTGCGCGAGGGGACGCATTTGCGCGTAGAATCAGCTCGAGGAAGGAGAGAAGAGACCTGACCGCCATACATCGCTGCAATGATTGACAGCACTCGACATCTGAACAATAAGAGGGGTGCGCTGGCAGGCACTTGCAGAGCTGCAGCAGGTGAAGAGTTGTCAACATGTCGTCCAAAAGTATGTGCGGGGACAGGAGGGCGGGCGGGCTCCACGGTGGGGGAGATCCGAGCCTCGGGGGTATGTGCGGGGCCGGGAGGTCGGATGCTCCCAGAGAGGGGAGAGGGAGAAATATAGCTAAATAAGATGAAAATAGAAAAAAATGTCTCTGTATTCTGTTTTCAGTGTTTAATCAAGGTGGGAGAGGCGGAGGGCTGAGGGAGATCGGACGCCTCCAGAGAGGGGAGAGGGAGAAATATAACAAAATAAGATTAAATAGGAAAAACCTGTCTTCCTCTTTTATTTTCAGTGTTCAATCAAGGGTGGGGGATTGAGGTGGTGGAAGTTACTTTCTTTTGATGAGTAATTGATGGCTATTTGTGGCTCAGATTTTTTTATTTATTTCAGTTTGAAGTTATTTTTATTTAATATTTATTTATTTATTTCAGGTTAAATTTTTTATTTTATTTGACTCATACAACCAAACTACTGTATCTACAGTACATTTGTTATTGCCAGTAAAGGTTGTCAAGTTAAATGAGAAGTTGTTGTAAGGTCATTTTGTACCTATGATACATTTGGGATGGGGACCTCCAAATAAAATTTCGCTTAGGGCCCCAATTTGGTCAGGGGCAGCCCTGCTCCCACCCCTTAAATTGCCTACTTGATGTACTTTGTCCTCAGTAATGAATATTTAAGTGACAAATTGGGATGGCAGATGTCCATTTTTTTCAGTCTTCCTGGCAGGAACATCACCTAACAACTTGCCAACGTAATGAACAGGATGAAAAAAATATTTGTAACACCTTTAACAAAGAAATTGAAATAAAACATTCATACCAGCTCAGTGTAAACAGATACCTACTGAAATCACATGAACTCTGATAATAAACAGATGTGCAGTTTAAGTATTTTAATTAAAAAAGCAAGAGGATGTTTAATGTACAGTATGTACAAACTGCATTTTGTTTTGCACGTTCATTCTCTAATCCTCATTTATATACAAGAAATAATAGTAGTCTGCTGTGAGATGTAGATTTCCACAAGAACCTGAGCAAACAGTCCAGTATGCAAAATCTACAGTTAAAAACATACGAAAAACCGCCCACAAATTCTGCACAACCATACACACCTCTTCAACAACACCCCTACACACATACACTAAGATCAATCATCAAAGCGAACTGATCGACGTGAATTGACGTCAATGGTGAACTTTTTATTGGACGGTGCAGAGAACCCAAGTCCCGACCCTCTGTTGCTGAAGTCCATTCTGCGCGACTGAGCGCGTTCAAACTCTCCCAGGAGCCCTTGCTGCAACTGCATCTGTGCATCCTTCCCCAGCGCCATATTTGCTTTTCCACTGGTCTCAGCAGCCGGCTGGAAGCCCTTTTTGAAGCCGCCCATCAACCGGAGGAATTTCTGCTGCTGTTCAGAGCTGTCGAACTGGGCTGTGCTCCACTGGCCGAGACCCTGAGGGACACAGATAGTGGAGACAAATATGAGAAATTATATGCATTACAGCAGGGGTGTCGAAACTTTTTTGAATGGGGGCCAGATAAAACAACGTGAAAACACCTGGGGGCCAACTGATTCTCACGTCAAAAGTTGTTTTTTTTTGTTTTTTTTTAAGTGAGATAAATGCAACCATTTTTATCTTTTAATGAACTATTACTACTTGATGCCTGTCTACAATGTAGTGTATGATAGTCCTGTCATTGTGATGTGAAGGGTAAAAATGCCAAGTGATCTTGCTCGATTAACCATTATTGTGTAAAGGACCACATATGGTATGATTAAAATTGGCCCTGGGCCAGACTTTGGACATGCCTGCATTACAGGTATACTTCACACAAAAAAAACATTTGTACATAATACAAGTTATTAATGCAGGGCTACATGGTGTTCATGAAGAAAACTTCTTCCCACAGTGGTCATTTTGTGGGTGAAGTGCTCCTTTATAGAGTTCTCCACTGATTTTACATGGGCTTAGTTTATTTGTCATGAGGAGTACAGCTCAGATGTATAATGTCTTCTGCAGGCCTGGAAGAGTTTTCTAAAGTCTGAGAAAATAACCCCGATGATGTTCTCAGACTTAGGAAAATTTGCCTGAGCTTTATACGCTACAAATGTACAACACAAAGCAAGCGTTACAAACTGGGGAAGTGGAGTATGAAAGATGAGGGCATTTACCTGGGCTGCAGTGGTGTACTGAACACAAGCAAGTGTGAAATAAAAAAAAAATTGCATGTACAATAACGAAAGTTCTACCAGAATTGGGTTTATAAACAAGTCACTGCTAACTGTGTACACCTTTGACACACCCACCAAACAAGGGAAAATGTACTTCATAGCCCACTGCACACCACTTCGAGGAAACAAAATGGCGCATACCGTTTTCAGAATGAACATGCCCCTGGCAGGGTGGGTCGAATGCTGATACTATTGAGTTGAATTAGGGGGAATGTAGGGTCCAGAGTTTTTTTTTAGCTTTACCAACAATTACGACTAAAAATGAGGAAATCCCTGCTGCATCAATTTACCCTTTTCACTCTTCCAAGTCCTTCAATCTTGTTAAAGTATTACACTAAAACAGCCAAAATGAATCTTAATGAAGCTCAGCGTAAGTTCAATCAGGAAGACCTTCTCTGTGCTCACCCTTTCACATTTCTCTCCATCCCACTTTCACTACTCCCTCTAATCAGCTGACTATGGGTGTTCACTCCTCTAGTTATCCAATCACACTTTGCCACGATCTCTCAGCCAATCAGGATGCCATTGTAAAATTTTAAATCTGCTCTCTTCTGCTGATGCCAGCCATCATTTTAAGCATTTCGACTGTGGATTCATCACCCTCCTTAAATCAAACCATCTCTGTGGGGTCTAACCGCCAAAGACTTTCCACATTCTTATTCATACGTTCACATGTTAATAAATATTCTTTTATCAGTAAAACCGAGTCTCTCCTGATTGAAATAGTTTTATTCTATTTACAGAAAGGCACTAACACTGACCGTAGGTTGGGCTGGTTTTTGAGGTTGAGAGGCCTTGTCAATCTCCATTTGTAAAGCCTGTCTTCTTTCCTGTGACAAACCAAAACAGTTCAGTAAGATTAACTGTATTTAACAGATGTACCAAGCTATGAACAGATTTATTTGGGGGAAAAGTTCAATGAAAAGACTACTGTGTCATTAAGAAACAGATCAACATTTTGGGAAATACTTGTATTTCCTTTTTAGCTGAGAGTTACATGAGAAGATTGATACAACTTTCATGTCTGTTCATTAAATATGAAACTACACCCAGGAGACAAGAGCCTGGCTCTTGTCTCCTGGGTGTAGACAAGAGCCAGGAGACAAGAGCCTGGCTCTTGTCTCCAGGCTAGCTGTTTCCCCCTGTTTGCAGTCCTTATGCTAAGCTAAGCTAACTATCTATCTGGTCAAAGTGGCTTCATATTTACGATACAGACATGACAGTGGTATCAGTGCTCTCATTCCCAAGATGTCTGGCATTTATGCACAGCAGGAAACATCACATTGACATAGTGATGGAGTAATAATGAGATCCCTGTTTACCTGGTTGATGGTGACCTCATCAGCATTTCCAGTTTTCTCTGACAGGAAAACCACATCCACATTGGTGAACTCCTAAAACACCATAAAACACAAACCAGGTTCACTCCCGATGTAAAAACTAAAAGACAACATCTGAGCACAGTGCCAGTCGCCTCTGATAATACACACACTCACATGCTCTTCATGGTCTTCCACCTCTTCTTTGATCTTCTTCTTCTTCTTCTTTGCACCAGTTTCAGAACTCTCCACTTGTGTCTCCACCTTAATGGAGCTTTTCTTCTTTTTGCTTTTCTTGCCTGTCGTGTCTCCAGCTGCCGTGACAAAGGTTTCACTGCTCTGCTTCTCGACCTCTTCACATTTGAGTTGTAATGGTTCTTCCTCCTCTCCCTTTGAGTTCCCCTTTTTTCTTTTCTTCTTCTTTGGCTCTGTCTCTTCTGCCTTGCTAACCAGTGCTACTGGTTCTTCCTCCGCCACCTTTGAGATTTCCTTTTTCCTTTTCTTCTTCTCTGGCTCTGTCTTGTCTACTCTACTAATTTCTTCATATTTGAGCACTCCTGGTTCTTCCTTCTCTCCCTTTGAGATTTCCTTTTTCCTTTTCTTCTTCTTTGGCTCCGTCTCTTCTACCTCGCTGACCTCCACAGAGGCTTTTCTAACCTTTTCCTTTTTTCCTTTTTTCTTTTGCTCCATCTTCTCTTCTTCATCAATGATAATTATCTCACTCTTTGTGGATTTCTGTTTCTTCTTGTCGTTTTTCTTCACTTCTTTGCTCTGTTTGTCGTTACCTTTGATCTGAGGCGTTCCTAATTCATTTCCATCTTCTTTCGTATTGGCTTCCTTTTTCTTTTTCACTTTTACCTTTTCAGCCTCACCCTCTGGTGTTTCTAACTTCACTCCATTCTCAGACGCTTTCATTTTAGATTTATTTTTCTTTTTTGTTACATTTATTCCCACCTTAGCATCTGGGGTTTCCCCATCTATTGTTTTCTTTGTCTTCTTTTTTTTAACTTGTTCCTTTAGTTTAGTGCTTACATTTGAAATGTCTTTTCCCTTCTTGGCTGTCTTTGGCAATTTATCCTTTCCATCTTGCTGTTCCTCCTCCTCCTCCTCCTGTTTCTTCATCTTTATCTTTGCTGGTTTAATTTGTACAGATTTAATTTTTACATTTGTCTCCTTCTTATGTTTCTTTTCCTGTTCTTCTTCTTCTTTAACTGAATTCTCACCATTGGCCAGCTGCTTTTTCTTCTTCTTCTTTTTGCTGACATCTTTGTCATTTCCATTCTTCACATCAGAACCGTCGGCATCATTCAGAGATTCAGGGACAATTTTCCTCTTCTTCTTTTTCTTCTTCTCTTCCTTTTCACCTCCTCCATCCAAAGACTCCTCCTCTGTATCTATAACAATTACATCACCTTTTTTACCCTTTCTCTTTACTTTTTTCACCTCTGCTCGGCTCCCGCCATCAACAGGTACGTTTTTCCTGTCAGGCAGTGAGGCTTGTCCTTTTGTATTTTTCTTCTCCTTCTTTACACAATTCTCCTCACTCTTCTCTTCTACCGTCTTCATTTTCATCCCTTCCACTGGCCTCTCCACAGCAACAGACCTCCGGCTTGTCTGGTGAGAGAAATGCAATTACTGAAAGGAAGGACTTTTTGATAATAGGCGCAACTGCAAAACCAGGCTCATAGGCACTATGTGTATGTGCAAGTGTGACTAACTGAGCAATAAACACTAACCAAAGGTGTGGCTAGCTGCCTGGGCTGGGACTGCTGATCAATGTCTCTTTGCAGGGCCAGTCGCTTCGCCTGCAGGGAACAGAGCATAGCTGTGTTTAAATGTTTAGAATGATAAAATGCACCAAAACAATTATTCTTTTATCTATCAGCACACTTGTTTTCATGTGTGTATGCATCAGTTTGCATGTGTCAGCCAATTCAAACTCTGCACATGTGGAACACTGCTGCAGGATTTACTGATTTAATCATTCAGGGTGGACTATTAAAGGTTAATACGTGCTACTTTTGTGTCCCATGATGTATATTTATGCGGTTCTCAGACGTTGCATGTCTACTTACAGTGTTTTTTTAGCACACTGTCACAGTATAACCTATATGCATGCACTGCAAGCAGTGGAATTATCCATGATTGAAACCAATCATGGATAATTCCACTGTTTTGCATGTGTTAACAGGTCCAGGCCCAAATTATTCTGACTCAGTGTTGGATATCTGATGTTGCAAATCAGTACCTGGTCAATGGTAATCTCATTGGGTTTATGTACACACTTTTCAAAGACAAAGATCACGTCCTCATCGGAGTCCGTCTGAAACACAAAATGAACAGTGAGTGCTGCTGGTGCAGATGAACATGCTGTCAGACCAACTGTTTATATGTGAGGTAACACGTCCATGACAAATACACTAGAGTGAAGACACTCTGAGTTAGGGCAAGTAAAAATGTAACAACTCAATAACACGGCAAAATAAACACTTTCTAGGCAGGATAAGATGCCCAAGTGTATTAATAGCACTCTCTGGGTAAAGCATGCTACTTAGCAAGCTAACAGCAGCTAACGTTGAACAGCAGCTAAAAGCTTCAACCGATAAAGATACAAACTATTCAGTCAGCCAGATAATGAAATTATTTTATCATAGCTACACCACGTATTATCAAAACTTAATAAGCTCAGTAGTTTACTTACTTTGTAGGCTTTGATAATTCACGTGGATACCCGTTTACTCTCGTTACCCGGAAGTAATTTCCCCTCTTTCCTGTTAGCTACGAGACAGGCGTCCGTGGTAACGAGCGCGCGCATGTCCGTATGTGAGCACATTCTGGAGTTGTACTGAAGTAATGCTGAAGCTCAACAAGTATTATAGTGATTTTATAATATATATATATATTATTTTGGTTTTCGTTTGTTGTTTTTAACTATTAACACTGTTTTATAATTTATAATGGGTCACTCATACGTGTATATCAGCTGGGAAACACTTGCTAAGATAAAGCTAATGTTTGGTTTTTTTCCTTTTTTTATTGAACCAAATGTATTCACAAAACACATGCAGTGAAGGAGCACAGTTTCAAATATTATTAATAATAATAAAAAGAAAACATATGCAAATAAAAATAAATATAACTACAAATAAATATATTAACTAACTAACTGAAAACAACATAATGAATTGGATGAAATTTTTAAATGAACAACACTTAAACCATGGTTTGAAGGTCCAGTGTGTACGATACATATTATTATTATATTGGCAGAGATGGAATATGATTTAATAAGTATGTTTTCTTTAGTGAACTATCACCTGAATTTAAGAATTGTTCTATTTTCTTTACCTTGGGGTGTCACAATCTACACAGGAAATGGCACCTTGTTCATAGAATCCAACATGTTTCTACATTAGCTCAGAACGGAAAAACCAAACACAGTGCCTTATATATGGGTCATTTGCAGTTTTACACCAGCCACTGTAGTTAGCGGCCCCTCCGAGACGAGCAGCATCGTTAAGACACTGATTTTTTTTTTTATGTTTACTGCCTCTCTGGGTCAGTTTGTTTTGAAGAGGGAAAAACTCCCTTTGTAAAAACCTCCTGAATGTCTGGATCAGAAAAAAAGTGAGCACACAGCAGCAAGTGCTTGTCATAGACAAGCCAAACAATGATGGACAAACACTTATTTGTAATGTGCAACTGCTTTCTTCAGTGTATGTACCAGTTTAAATCACTTGATCTGTTTGTTTTGGAGAAGCAGAGGCAGATAATTCAGCTCCTGCTAAAAACCTTTCTAAACAGGAGGAGATTCAGCTGGCTCTAATCTGCTGTTCTTACCACTAGATGCTACTGAATGCTCCAAAATCTGCTCCTTTAAGTAAGGTGAATTACTGTATAAACCAGCAGCTTCTATCACTTTTACCTGGAGCTTCTTGCAGCAAGAAAGCTGCACTGTTGAGGCATCAGTTGTCAAAGTGTTTTTCAGATGGTCGAATAGCATTTTACACCCCCCTCTTACACCTACAATTTTCTGCTAGATATTTTTGTAACTTTTTAAATCTGATAGTCACAACCAGTTTATGCAGCGATTCCCCAGGTGTGTGGTGATAAGAAAGTAGCAGGGTTTGAACTTCTCTCTCTTAATTTGGACAACCAAACTAGTTTGTGTAAACATGCTCTGCCTTTATATTTTGCCTGAATACTTTGGGAATTAGTCTAAGCCCCAGCCTGGGCCTCACCTTTAGCCTCACAAGTTGAAAGGCCAGTGCCAAGGCCAGTGTCTGTCTGCAGCTTAACGGAAGCCAGCTGCAATTTTGGCTTCTTACTTTACCTTCTGACAGCTAGGTGCATAAGCCTCTATAACAGACGCTGGCACCAGCTTTTACCTGCAACTACCGCCAGTTCCTTCAGCTTCTGGTAGCCAGCCAGTGCAGATCCAGCTTTCTTGGTCTCCTATTTACAGCCATGCACGCACAGCCTTTGCCAGCAAGCAGCAACCACAGCATTCTCATAGAGGTGAGTAGTGTTCATTTTCAAGCTCAGCCTCCACATGCTACTTCGAGATATGATAATAATACCACCCGCCACCTAAGATGTCTGTGCCAGCTACATCCCCATCTTTTGACCACAGCTTCCAGGAGCCAGCTGGTGTTCCTGCTTCTGCCCACTACATCTGACAGCCATCTGCAACCCCAGCATCCGACTTCAGCCCATGACAGCTAGTTGCATCAGCTGTCACCTACAGCCTCTCGGCACCCAGTGTTCTACCTGGAGTCTGAGCCAGCTGCATACCAAACCTCCATTTACAGCCTCTCACAGCCCTACGAATTTGAGATGCAATGACCTGAATATAGCACAGGTTACTTTTAAAACACTCCCACATGCAGTGAGGAATTTTGGAACAGCTGCTCCATAGCTATTTTTGATGGATAGAGCTATGAGGTGAATTGGCTCACGATTCAACACACTGCATGGAGGAGAGACATCGTGCACGTCTCCACTTGGCTCATAAACCAGCCAAACTCCATATACTTGGTATAAATGATGCAGCAATTTTGTTAACGAAAATAACGAAATATGACGTGTAGAAACAATTCCATACTATGTGTGATAAGAGAAATACCAAAAATAATTTTCTAATGTTTTATAGATATGCTTTTAGGAGTTGTGATTACATGGGCATCAGTTTTTAGCGTCCTCTGGAAACCTTGCTTTTCAAAATGTGCTTGTGTTTTATTTACTTGCAGCTTTTTCTATAAGTGACATGTGCTATCGATGTGGTGTTCACTGTGTTGCTGCATCTCTATGAAGTGACCGATGCCTACAGTACAGTGGATCCATTAGGTCCATTAGTGTACCATAAGGACAGGAGACCGAAGAAAGAACAGTTCAATGACCACACAGTACTTAACAGAAAATATGCACCAATGTATTAGCCACTTTGTGCGAATCACATTACAGACATTCATGTTACGCTGCCATTAAACAGTGACAGTGCTATCATCATAAGAGCATCTTAAAAGGAAAATACCATTTTCACATTTGGGTTATTTACATGATTAAAACTCAGTTATATAGCGCTGATACATAAAAATCCTGTGATGGTAATATTTTCACTGTACAATATCTGAGCATACACTTGTACACAAAAGCAAATTATATAGTTGAGTCTCACAGCAAGAGGAAATGGTCCCGGCATGAACATGGTGACTGTTCTTTGAATTGTGTTTTAACTGGATAAAATGTCCTGGAATGAAGCCAGTGTTGCTTGGGAGATGAAAACCGCATCCCTCCAGTCAAGTAGGAAGCTGCCTCAGAGTTCAATTGCCAGCAGCTGCTGACTAGAAATCTGTCTCGCTTTGGAGCCAAACTTTGCTGCGTCACTAATAAAAAACAATATACATGCGTTTGTATCTGTTCCAGGTTAATTCACAGTGATGCATGACTAAATGTTTCTCTATATTCGATGGGAATTTAAAATGTAAAGGGATCTTGATCACAACAATATAATGAGATGTTGCCATACATCTCAAATAAAGTGTATATAATGATTAGGAGCCTTATGAGATCCAAAGTAACTTTTGGGAAACATGAGTGAAAATGCATCAAAACGGACTGAGAACAAAGTCCAACCTCAAGGTCCATTTTGTAGCTGTTCCAGAACTTTCCATTGTACCACATGGTCTTCCTCTACAGATCAAGTTTCCCCAGTTTTCATGGAATTGTAGATGTTTATATTTTCCGAGCACTTCAGATGAGAATGAACTCAACACTAAAACTGGTATTTCTCCTCTATGTGTATATCAAAATTCTAGAAAACACTCAAAATACAATTAAATTTTGACAAAATACATTACCTTTAAACTGCGCTTTTACATGCATCTCAAATATCACAATGCCCAGACATGATAAAGTGCAAAATCACAACCTCCAACAGTAAACCTTATATACTGCATTATAGGCATTACAGTATTAAATGGCTTTTTATGATATGCTTATTAAAAACTACTCATCCGTGAGCTGTCGACTCATTTAAGCTTCTTCTTTCTGAATCATCAGCCGATCCTCCAGAACTCTGCAGAGGCTTTGTTAAATGCATGACAATTGTCAATTCACGCAGTGAAATGTGCCAAACTGTCCAGTAGCACTGATAATAGGATGGAGATATGGAGAGAAAAACACTATGAGTCCTTTGGGTCTTTCCAGCATGTAACACAGAGGCCAAGCAAGCTATGTGGGTGTATGCAGGTAATTTACATTAACGATCTAAAGCTTTTTTTTTGTCCTTTTTGTTGGGGCTTGATGCCTGACAGAAAAAGAAGGAAAGCGTAGTTTGATGAACTGGCATCAGTAACAGCATCGATTTGGAGCTGCTCACACAAAATGTTTACTTCACTTCATTCATGTCGTCCTTTAAACTTTACTTTGTCGTGGTAATACCACATTGAACACTAGTCTTTGATATTGACTTTATATACGCTATAATAACATTAACCCTCCTTATACATTCCTCGTCAGTGTATATATTTACATATTACAGTTAAGACTATCTGTGCTGACTATCAAAATAATGCACCATAAATACCCTGGCTTTATGACAAAATCTCCTGAACTGTGGAAGCTGCGTCACTTTCTCTTCCCTCTCCTGTGATTTCATGTCCAGTCTGCTGATAAAGAGGCAATCCAGAAAACTTAAGCATAAATACTACAGTGTTAGGATTGGTTCTTAAAATGTAAAATTCATACATGTGTGCAGAAACATAAAACACATTAAACTTTTTTTTAAGCCCCCATCAACTCCATTCTGTGTGATATGTGACGCCTTTAATATCTTCTTCTTTTTCTTAGGCAACGGGAAATTCTACGAGTACACACCAGTGTATCCTCTTCAAGTCTCGTCCCATTTTACCACAACCGTCTTCCAGTGTAGTTAACTGGGGCCGTGGGCATCTACAAGGGAGACACAAACAAGTAGTGAAAAAGTGCAGTACTCCTGTGGTTGGCTGGTTGGCTGGTAAATGAGTTTCTACCATACTTACTGTTCCACCGTTCATGACCAGAGCCATTTCAGTAGGTTGGTAGACGTGACCTCTAAAGGCGATGCCAGGGCGGACACTCCCGTGGCTGCCGTGGTATGTTCCACTTCGGAGAGCTGACCGGGCAAGGAATACACACACCCAGACACACACGTTACAGGTGTTTAACAAATATTAGATCATGATGATTCCAGTTTCAAGAAATGAGAGATGACTGTACAACTAACTGATACAAAGCAGACATGCATGAAACTCAGGGTTGAAGTATAATTTT